ATATTAAAAACAGGGAGATGATCAGTTATGTCGCTACATAAAAAAGGATTTAGAAATATAAGTGTTTATACTTACTCATTAAAACTGCAAATCCTAGGTGACAAAACACAGCTGGATACAACATGTAGTCTGCTACAAACACTGAGTGTGGACCACCTGCACAAAATGAAGGCGTTCATGTACAAAAATGGGAAGCTGTAGTTTGGTGGTAAATATGATTGGATTGGATTGGATTTCTTCGATGTGATACCCACCAAGGATAATGCATGAAGTCCTCAGACGTATTTCCAATGGGGGGGGGGGGGCCTTCGGGGGCCTTCTGGTGGTGAATTGAGCAGTGTACCAGGAGACAATCCTCTACTCTTTTCTAAAGAGTGAACTGCATTGCATTGCTTTAATAGTTTATTTTTAATGGTTTCGTTATTAGTTGATTTGGACACACAAAAAAGTGAGCGCTTAGTGAATCCAAAAAAATTGACATTCTTTGTGTATACAAAATCTTCATGAAGAGTTTAAAAATTATGAATTCATAGTTTTCCTAATGAAAAAAAAAATTAAATAACAAACTGAAATGAAGATTGTGCCTTAAATTTAAGGTGTATATTCTTACCGTGAGGAAATGCTATTAATGGGGGTTTGCTTTGTTCTGTGTTGCCCTTCGGTGTCAACAATATTGCCTCAAATTCAAAGTTATCTGAAATGATATTGACAAAAATAATCAAGAGTAAATCATCCCTGAGCAGGAAATATGTACTTCACTACTGTAATGACTGCTACATGCCGGTGAATGTCAATAGGCAGAGACAGTACGACTATGCCCTGCAATATCCAATTCATTTCATTTCTTTTGACAAGGCAGCAATTACAATTAGCTTCAGTTACACCCTGACCCTTTGGACATGTACAACTAGCTCACCTGTTCAAAATCGTAACTTATGATTGAAAGTAATTTCTTTTTTGTATTGTCTACTAATTTGAGTAAAGACAAAATGTTGGTTACTGTTACTGCCTAGATGCCTGGACAAATCTGAAAGAAGTATATTGTATCACCATCCGTTTAGGCATCTTACGTTTCATCATCTACTGTATAATTTATTATATTCTTAACTGCTTGTGTGAACATTATAAGCACAACTATTGGTTCACAGTTTTTCTTTATATACAAGTCTGTCTTTCATTTGCGAAGGTATTTATCGAATGGTTAAAGATGTATCAATATTAAATATTAGTTACCTCAGAATATAATCTTTTATATATGTGGTTTCACATAAAACCTGAGGCAGATGCAGGGGGTGCAGACAGTGCAAACACACCCCCTAAATTATATAAAAATAATAATTATATTGTATTGTGGATACATTATTTTTATCATTATGAACGTAGTACTGGTAATTATGGGAGTGCAATTTCCGGGCACACCACCTCAGTCCCAACCATGTTGGGGCTGAGGTGGTGTGGTCTCTCACGTATCCCCCCCTCCCCCACCGCCCGCCAAATCATGCATCCGCCTCAGTAAAACAATTATCTACAACAGTTTGATAGTGTATTAATGATAGAAAAGGGTTACTCACCAGGTGTTTTAGGGGAATAAGCCTTAATTTCAAATTGAAAATTTGAAAATTCAACATGATTTTCATCCAGATATTTCCATAAGATGGCATCATTTCCACTACCGATTTTTCCTATAACCTTTAACAAAGAGAGTATAATGTGTTTTAGTTGCGGTAGAATTTTACTCATCATAATTCAATTTGGAAGAAGTCATTTCCAGGAGATCTGTTTTTCGTTCTTAGTATATCTAATTTTGTTTTCCTACTTTTGGTGATCTATTGACATTGACAAGGATAATGAAGGGGTAATACAAGTACATAGAGAGTTAATAACTCCTGTCTGGTTGTGGGAGTGATTTGGGACCCCCCCCCCAAATACCGTAAAATCTTGAATTGAAGCCCGACAGGCTTAATTCTCAAAAAGAAGCCCAACTCGAATTGAAGCCCCCTCTTCAATTTGCAAAATTAACCTCATAAAGAACCCCATCTCAAGATAGCATAGGCTTGTTTTTGAGATAGTGCAGTACGTACACTGTACATGAATATCAAGGAAACAAAATAAATTAAAAACAGTAGTTTAGGTAATTAAATGCAGGTTAACACACTCCATGATACAGATTGATGTTTTAGTGACCCTATTTATAGTTTTATGGTCTCTTCTTCTTGAATGCTAGTCGTCGTTATACATCGCGCATCTCACTAATTTCTGCTATTCGGTGCGTTTTTGAACAAGTGCGTGCATAGACCCGTGTGTGAAAAATCTGGTTTCCTTGATGTTGGCCATCCATGTTGTTGTCGGCCACCCCTGCGGACGTTTTACCTTTCACTCTGCTTCGTGGTATGCCATTCTGGCTGGATTGTGTTCATCTAAGCGGAGCAGGTGCCCATACCATACCAGCCTTCTTTTCTTTACTTTGTTACTCCATTCTTCTTCCCCTGTCTTTCTATATAACTCATCATTCCTTATTTTCTCTGGCCACTTTATACCTAATATTCTTCTATTTCATTCTCTAACAACTTGGTCATTGTCCAGAGTTCGCTGTTGTATAGGCAGATACTGTGACATATACATTGAAGACTCTCACTTTTCAATTTGGTTGTTATTTTCATATTTTGGAGTATACCACTTATTTTAGAGAATGCTGCTAGATAGAGGTGTTTTATGTTCCTGATGTCTTCTCTTGTTCCCAACTTGCTGCCTAGAAACTTACAATTTCGCCAATCTTCATTTCCTTTCCTTTGTATGGTATACTCTTCCGTTTTGGATGCGTTTACCGTTAAGTTGTAGTCTCTAAGTTGAGGTGGCAGTTCTTTCTTTATTTCATTTACGTATTCTTGTGATGCAGATATCCATGAAATGTCGTCGGCATATTGAAGGCTCAATGTGAAATTGTATGTCTGATGTTGTTGTTGTTCATATGTTTGTGGTGAAGAGGATAGGGTAAGGCAATCTCCTTGTGGAACCCCAATATTTGATATAATAGGGTCACCTAACTCCTTTGCTATCCTTACTTTAAGTTCTACTTGTTCTATTAATATTTTAATGAGGTTTAGTTCTTCAGGTTCTAGATTTTGGGATATAATCTCGATTAGTTTTTTCCTATTCACTGTATCAAAAGCGCTGCTCATGTCTAGCATAACAAGAGTAAGCTTTTACACAGATGAGGTAATGGCTTTCTCTGTGCGGGTTCTGAGAGCAAATACATGTTCGGTAACACTTCTCCCATTGGTGTATGCTGCTTGAGAGAGTGGTATAACGCTCCTGAGTTTATCCCCTATGCTCTGTATAAGACAGATAGCTAAGATCTTTCTGATGGTGTTCAAAAGAACAACTGGCTTGAGGTTTTTGACAATACCTTTCTGAATACCTGACTTTGGAAGTGGAACTATGATTCCCTCTTTTATATCATTAGGCACTTTACCTGATCTCGCCATCTCATTAAAAATATTTGCAATAATATCAAATACTACCTCAGGTGCAAATTTGATAAGTTCTGAATGAACATCGTCCGGTCCTGGTGTCTTACCATTTTTTAGTTTCTTAGCAGCTAATTTTATTTCTGCCCTATTAAATAGTTCCTTCATCTCAAGTTTTTCAATGTGCAATTTCTTTTCAATTCCTGTTTTCTATATACTGTACCTCTTGAAAGTAGTTGGTTACTATCTTAACTTGTTCCGTCTCATTTGTAATTATGTTTTTATCCACGTCATACAAAAATGTTTTGTCTTTCTTGTCTACCCGTTTAAGGTGTCTAATAGCCTAAAACATTTTATTTGGCTCATCTTTAATGTTCTCTAATTCTTCAATTTGTTTACTTATTGTTCTTTCTTCTTCATCCCTTATCATCAAATGAATTTCTTTGAGCATTTTATTTCGTTGTTTTTTCAGGTTACTTCTATGGTCATTGCTTTTGCAGGCGTTAATTTCAATTCTCAGTTTCTTTTGTTTCTGAGACAGATTTTTAATTTCATTGTTTGGATGTCATTTACGCTATTTTTAGTTTTAAACCTTACTACATACTTAGCCACCTCCTTACAGACGTGCGCAACATGTCCCCACTTTTAAGTATGTCAGTGTTGCTTAACTTATGAGTGTCTAGTTTTTGTGTTATTCTAGCTTTGTATTTTTCCTGGTTAGTAGTGTCGGTAAGTTTTATTACGCTTAATACTCGGTTTTCATCTTAACATATTGCAGCCTTAACTGTATTTTTACTAATCTGTGGTCGGTTTCAACATTAATACCACTATAGGATCTAGAATTTGTGATACAATTTACATTTTTTTTCCTAACCATTATGTAGTCCACTTGATTTCTATAAGGGTTTCTACGTGGCGTACCATTCCTATCATTGTGCGGTTTGATTCTGGCAGGCTGCACCCAAGTTGTGCGATGAGACATTTTCTGTTGAAACATGGTGTTGGTAAGTGTGAGCTTGTGCCTTAATGCCATCTCCAACAATGCTATCCCATTACTGTTGAGCTCACCTTTTCCATATTTACCCATACAAAGCGAAAAACCATTATGGTACCCCTCTTAGCGTTCATATCCCCCGCGATGATAAATAAGCTTCTACTACTAACGCTATTTATTATGCTTTCGAGCTCGTCATAGTATTGTTCCCTTAGTACCGGCTGATTTTCACTCACCTTAAGTGTGTGTGCATAAGTTGAGATAAAATGAACATACCTTGGCTTGTTTGCTTTCTCATCAATCCTAAAAGTAGCCATACACGTTCTATCAGAAAAACCTTTAAATTTAGCACACAAACCCTTCTCTATAGCAATACCGACTCCATGGTGTGAGTTGTTGTCCGATCCCATGTAGAAAAGTTTGTATATGAGATTCCCAATACAAGGCAAGTCGATGACACCTGTGCCTTGCAGGTGTGTTTCCTGTACGCCGAGTATCTGCACATTGTATCGCTCTAGATCCAGGGCTAGGTCTTTCTGCTTTAAATGCGATCTAATTCCTCTAACATTCAATGTTCCAACCGCTGATTTTTCACATTTACGGGGTCTAATACACATATTCTTGCTTTTCACCGCAACCAAAAGGCAGGATTTCGTGAGACTTTGACATATTTGATGTTAGAATTCTGACGCTTGATAGCGCTAGTGTGGCGTCACCCAACACTTCCGGTGTTGGTTTTATAGTATTAACTCCTAAAACTTACAGCATTCAGTTTGAAAAGAAACCACCCCCTCCCCTTTACTTTGACAAATTAGCCTAGAAAAAAGCCCTTCTCGAAAAGAAGCCCATCTCGAAAAGAACTTCAAGCCCATCCAAATTTTGCAAAAAAAAGGAGCCGCCCAGGGGGCTGTAATTCGAAGTTTCACGGTATACTCCCAAAATGGGAGTTTACTTGAATAAATATGATGATTATAGAAATCCTGAAATAATGATTGTTACTCAGTTTAGCTTGCATCACTGAACATAAGCGCATGAACTATGCTTTCGATTCAAGCAAATAAATTGGCCTAGTGGAAAACCAGATTTAGGAAGGTAAAACTTGTTGTGCGGGAGGAGTGGAAAACAAACAGATTGCACGAGGCTAAAGAAAGAGACATGGGCACTCTGCCCTGTAAGCCCAGTGCTTTACATTTCAGTTTTACCTTACTAACAATACGTTACTGGCCAGTATGGGGTGCAAGTTTGAGATACGAAGCCTAACTGAAGATAAAATAATTACAAATAATAAAATCAAAGAACAAACCAAACGATGTGGTATATTGGGCGAGCCGCATACAGCAAGTACAAGATCATCTTTAACATCCAACACTGACCAAGCACCGAACTTCATCCATTCATCACCATCACTTCCAAAACTTGTAATTTTCTTGACTGTCTGTGTTTCAACATTGATCTCGATTATTTCCTTAAAATAAGAAAATAAGTATTAACAAATTAAATATAACAGAACAAATACTGAGATATGGGAAGGTAAGCCATAAAAGCTTGGACATTCAGATTCACACATTTGGCTTCCTTTTCCCAATTTCAATCTTTCAAATTAATTTAATCCTAGTAAATATATTAAAATTCAAAAATTATTCTGAGTTTTTATCAAATGCAAGTGCATTTGCAAATGAACTGAGCATTCAGTACTACTGCACAATACATCAGATAGGGCAAATATCGGTTCATATGTTAAGCTTGTTTACTATTTTGCACAACACATTAAATAATACAGAAAATAATATTTTATAGCTGTCCTTTGTAAAATTGTCTCATTTTTACTATTATTATTATTATTATTATTATTTATATCATTTATATAGCGCCTTTTCTTTACACATACAAAGCGCTTCTTTTTCCTGGTCAGTGGGTCCACATGCTTTAAGCGCGGGAGCAGGCAACCCCACCAGGTATCCATTTATACCCCTGGGTGGAGAGAACCAATGCAGAATAGTGCCTTGCTCAAGGACAAAAGCGAAATGTACAGTGAGGGATTGAAGACAATACATCGAGGTTAGGAAACCAAACAGTTCCTACTGCGCCAAATCGCTATAGAACTTACCCTACAACTTCTCCATGCACTGTGCGTGTAGATTCTTTTGTTATCAGAGGACCAACATTTACGTGGAAGACTAACGAGATATAAACCCGGAAATTCTGAAACCAAATCCAAAATTTCAAAGCTGTTATTGTCCACATTTCACATAAAATAAAATTGTAAATTTGGTAAGCTGTGCCCTATTATATCCAGGTACATTCTAGGAAAGATACTTGCAGAGTCATTATAGGTTTACAAACATTTTGGATATGCTGTTTTTAAGTTTCCTTAACACATTCTCTGCCAGGGACAGGGTTCATTTAGGGCGCCAAGGATGCAAGTTCACGTCCACACATGTCTAAACATACCACTATTTTATTGCATGAAAACTCGCTGACGATGGTTGCCAGAACGTGAACTCTTGCCCTGGGTGTACAGAGAAGAACCTGGAATTAACAATCTAAAAATAAATACTTTGTTTTTTGGTGTTTAATTACAGTTGATGAGAATGCAGACTTCTCAAGTTCTACGGAACGTCCTTAGTTGCTAAGGAAATTTTACCTAATTATGGACGTTCACAGAAAAAAAAACAAAGACACTACGAAAATTTATCTTCAGTCTAGACCCAGAAATATATAGGTTTACACATTATTGAAAGTCTAGGACAATGATTTTTTCATCAGGCCCATTGGCTACCCGTCCATACGGACACCAACAGACCCTAGACTTCTGACCTGTCAGATTACTGATAAATTATTGTTAAACGCAGGAAAAGTGCCCCATGAAACATAAGGTGCTACGGAATATTTTCATTTACTACGGAAACTAGAAGACATGGTTACGGAAATGCATTTTATTCACTTGAGAACTCAGGAGAATGTTTTTTATTTAATCCTTGTGTATGGGGTGAAACTAGAAAAAAAGGCTTGACAATATATAACATGTTAATCTATGATGCAGCTGGGAACAATTTTAATTATACTTGATACAGTGTAAATATTGTATAATATTGATGCACTATATCATAGGTGGAAAAAAAAATATAGGTCAGACGGCAAAGCTAAATATTTTAATTAACATGAGGGTTGCAGGTATATTTATGGTAAAAATTTGATGTTTCCAATATCCTTATTGTTACCTTTTTTACAAAAAAAAGGGAAACAACGAACATGTTAAAAAAGGAATATGTATGTTATAGCAAAAGGCATAATATTAAAATAAAATGCTTCAGTTAGTCCAAATACCAATGATTATTTGTATTTTTTCAGATGTTGGTATCAGGATGTAACAAGGGGTTTTCAAGTCAAAGATGGTAGGCAAGCCATAAACATGGGTCCTCCACCGTATGTGGCCCTAGGACCGTACTTTGCCCACCTGTGTACTAAAATCCAACTATCATTACTATATCTAAATACAGTCAACTCTCCCAATACCGACCACCCTTCGGACCGTCCACTTTGGCCGGTATTCCGCATGGCCCGGCTTAGAAAACATCATGTTTACCCACCTTGATTCCCTGGCCTTGAGTCGATAAATAGGCCTAGGCCTAACTTGGCAAGGTACAGACAGCTACACCACACTGTATGTACTGTATACTGACATGAGAACGTCATTTAAAAATGCATGTTTATTACTTTATTTTTACATTATTTATATTATGTTACCTATTTTTTTGTCGCATTGTATTATCAATATTCATTCATATTCATTCATATTCATATATTTTATAGCGCCTTTCTTTGCAGATACGAAGCGCTTCCCTGGTCATTGGATCCACATACTTAAGTGTTGCTGCTGTATTCAGTGGAAGGAGCAAGCAACCCCACCAGGTACCCATTTATACTCCTGGGTGGAGAGAAGCAATGCAGATTAAGGTTGAGAAACCAATTTTTTCACGATGCGCCAAACCGCTTCTACAATAAAATTCACGCAAATCAACTTCATGTGTTCGTACAGTACAGGCGGAAACTATTGCAATTTTTCCTGCAACTAGGCTTCGTAAAGCAAACCTACGAAGCAAAGGTGTTTTTGCAGAAAGACTACTGTAGCTTACTAGAATAAACAATGTATTGCTGGGTTATTTGTGAATGACAAATTTACAAATTTAGTTAATTTAAAGCATGGAGCTGTTTTTCCAATAAGTAATTCACGGTGCCGTACGTTTGATTTGATCGGAGTCTTCCCTTCCATTCGCTATTCACAACAGAAACTTGTTTGTACTGTTGTAATTTTAAAAAATTGGCCTAGCCTATTTTCTGTTTAGAATTATTTTACCTCTTTTAACTGTGAACAAAATGATGTCCTCAATAACAATACACACATGTGAAAAGAGATTGTTCATCAAATAATATTTTGCAGTGTTGATTTAGTAAATAAAAGAGAGCCAACGTCCACTGATTGACCAAATGTCACATGGAAACCCAATGGAAAATAAAACTTCTTGTCAATCCCAAAAATCCAGCAGTGGGCAGCGTGTGTGCCAATCAAATCACACTAAATTGTGTTAAAGGTTGACCTAGTTTCCCCAACAACACCTTCATTAATGCAAATTTAAATAGCATATTTACTAAATTATGGGTTTCGGAAATCCATTATAGGCCCAAGGCCCTCACTGTCGGAGCTTTCAAAGCTTTGCCCCAAACTACCACCAAGGGCACTGCCCTATATCCATCTTGGGGGGCATAGGTGTCTCATGCAGACTAAAGACCGTGTTGCTAGCAAAACGTATCCCCACCCTCATCGAAACTGTCTACGGGAAGAAATGTGTATCTTTATAGGCCCTGATAGATTTTTTGGTGAGCCCAGTGAGGTTCAAAATCGGACAATCATTATAGGTTTTATGAGATTGTTTAACTACTATAGAAAAATGAAGCCCAAACCTCTATTTTTACTAAAAGTATTTAGCTCAGTGAGGTACATACAGGGCATATCAGGATATAGTTAAATCTCAACAAAACTATATATTTTTTTTTACCAAAAATCAATTTTTTATTACCAAAATAATTGCCAAAATTGGATTTTTTGAAAACCTTTACGTAAGATTCTGATATTGACTAGTAAGGTAATATATTGGTTAAAATGTATTTTTGACATACAGAGAACTGCAATATATTTTTATATGTAGACAAATCTCAATTTTTTACCAATGCCTTTATAAATTAAGATTCTAATATATTATTGACCAGCGAGGCATAATACTGTATTGATTAAAATGTATTTTTACATACAGAGCATATCAGTATAAATGTCAACAAACAAATCTATTTTGTACCAAAAATCATCGCTTTAACTCAAAAATAGGCACAATTGAGATTCTTTAAGATTGTTATGTCAGATCCTGACATAGTATTGATCAGTGGTTTCAAAGATTTTCTTTAAAAGCATGTTGATAAAACTGTTTCATTCATGTTGATAAAACTATTTCATTTGGTTATTGTGAAAAAAAAATGACCATATAGATTCTAAGCCTGTTTGTACAAGTAGGCCTTGTACTATAATAGCCAAAAATACTAAAATGTTAAAAACCATATTTTTCCCCAAAACTTCTATTTTTACACATTTTTACAATTCAAATTTCTACCCCAAAATTTAATTTTTCTTTTTTGCTCCAGAGATATTTCAAAATTGTGTGCCCATACTAATAATTTACCAATTTGACATCCAGGTAATCCAATTATTAATCTATGCACAAGGTTAAAATCTAGATTAATACAAAAGCGACTTTTTTGTTCAAAAAATCTTTTATTTCTTTATATTTTTCATTTTATTTCTGACTAAATAATGATCATATTGATTCTAAACCTATTTGTACAGGTAGGTCTTGCACTATAGCAGTCAAATATACCAAAATATTGAAAACCATATTTTTTCCCAAAAATGCAATTTTCTAGATTGAAAAGCATGTTGATAAAAATATCTCCACCAAAAATTAAAGTTTTGTCATTAGTTTACCGATTCTTCCATATTTTGACGTTAAGGACTCTCTACTATTTGGAGAGTTTACTGTATATGTAAGTAATAATCATCTTGAGTAAATCCTTAAACATCATATGATTTTCATATTTTATAGTTGTATGAATTAAACACTTTCACGTCGTTTTCGCCCACACCACCCACAATGATTCTTATTATTGGAATTTTAAAGGTAAACACAACAAAGAATTTTACCTGTTTTGCCAGGTCTGTCTTGAATTTCTACAACAACCTTAGTTTCTTTGGTCTTCCAATCATACTATAAGAAGAAGCAAGTTGAGTTAAAATTTAAAAAAAATTAACATAATTCATACAATATACAGTAGATGTATGCATAAATACATCTATATAGTTTATGCTTTTAATTATGCATAAATAAAAACCTTTCCTATATTATTGTTATTCTCCACCTGACTGGTTATAAATTTATGAGTTTCGATAGTAAAAAATCTGAAATTAATTGTGTGATTCAATTCAGTTTATTCAAGAATCAACCAGTTACTACAACAAAACAGAATAGAAATAAGAGACAAAATGAATACAGTTAAGATGTTGCCAGTAACACTTTCCCAATTTGAAGACGTTCATACACAGTAATACCAAATAAAAGATATGATCAGCCGGCATGTGAAGCAGGTAGCTGGCGTGTGAAATGCAGGCAGCCGGTCTGTCAAGCTTAGGCCACCAGGCATGTGAAGCATAAGCAGCCGGCATGTAAAGCGTTGGCCGCTGGTGTGCGGAAGAGTCAGCAGCCGTGTGTAAAGCGTACAAAATAAATCACATACCATAAGCAGTTGTGAGCATTGCATATGAGGTCCGCCTGTCTTGTTCCTGAGGTACACTAATTTGCTCATGTCCCAATTAAACCGGGGATTTGATACAGCATGTTCAGGTTCTGATAAAACATCTGAAGGGAAAAGGTGAGAAATGTATAGTACAGCATTCACAAGTTTCTATCATGTAAAGTACTGAAGTGTTAATTTATATTATAACATATAATACATATAACTTTGTAGTTCCTCATAAATTATATGTAACACAATTTTTAACTTTTAATGGTGAAAACTTTTTCCAATTTGTTTGAAGGTTTGCATGGCGAAGTAATAACATAATTTTGAAACTTGTGGTACACCACGTAGATAGTTCTGAAAAGAACTGTTGTAGTAAAGAAAGTCTTGACGTTTCGATTGAGTTGCTTCAATCGTCTTCAGGAGAATAATATCTCGTTTAATTCAATTTGCTAGTTGAAATATTGATGCACTGCTTTTATACCTAAGTATGCCTAGCTTTAATGTTATACTGCTGTAAAACAAGGGGGGTTTTACTTGCCGAGAGGTAGGTGGGCAGTACACATAGGGCTTTTATTTTCTTCTGCGGTGCACAAACATTGTTGTCAAAAATGCACAGTCATTATTCTTTAAGCAATGTGTATGCTACATGTACAGCCTTTCAAATAAATGAATGTAGTTTGGTGTACCAAGGGGTCTTGAATTGAGAGTGCTGATGTGGGGGGGGGGTGGGGGTGGGGTGCAAAAGTGAAGTGAGGAGATTCATGATTAGGAAAACGCATGCTAGCGCCTAATATGATGTGGTTTAAGGTGATTTCTTTGCTTCAAACATAAATAATGGGGAGGAGGGGGACTGGGTCCCATGCATTCCCCTAGATATGCTAACTAATCCTATGGTCCTGGGTTCAAACCACGTCACTGCAAGATTTCTTCTCACAGCACAAAAACAGCCTCATTCCTAAAGCTTCATAAATGAGACTTATTTTATAAATCATGATCATCAGTAACTGGCAAGTGTACTTGCTAAAAAGCATTATAAAAAATATCATTGTATATACTAACCAAAGGTCCGATCTTTAATTCGTAGAAGGTAAAGATCACAACTGGTGGTTGAATAAAAACAAAAATGGTTAAGGTTTACAAATTCATAATTAATCAGTGAATTTTTAAAAATGTAAAATATTCACAAGAATTAGTCATTTTACAATTCACAACACAACCATCCCCATCTCTAGGATCGGCTTCACCAGCAAGCGCAAGCTCGGTGGCCTAGTGGTTAAGACATCAGGCTAGTTGTGGAAGTGGTTGGCGCATTGGTTGTGGCTTGGACTCCCAACCTTGAATTCAGGGTTTCGAAACTCTTGCTGTGCAAGTTGCTCACTAAAAACGCGTAGGGAAATTTTGGATTTCTAGCAGGATCTTCGTTTATTTTTTCACATTTTACTTAAGTGTAAAAAAAAAATGTATCTTTGAATATGTTTGTGCTATCTTTGTGACATTTGAAGACAACAAATTACGATAGGATGCGTCTCATTTTGGGGTATCAAAACGTCAGTGCATTGACCTTGATGGTGGCGTGATTTTGTGTAAGCCTAGGCCTACTTGCAGCCAGGCACTTTTGGGTCATAAACAATAGGACCTGTCACAAAATAACTAACACTTTTGACCAAAAAAGGAAGTATTTTTTGGCTAAAATTTTTCAATTTCAGTTTCCAAAACCTTACATATACCAATAAAACTTTGAGAAACATGATGAGAGAAGAGAACAGAGTATACTGTAGTAGCTAAGCTAAGCTAAGGCCTTAGGCCTAGGCTACACTTGAATTGCGCTGTGATTGCGAAAAACGCAGAATGGCTATGAACCGTTACAGATAGCTAAACATATGCGTACACGTATTCGTTCGCGTGCGAAACCTCTCTATTTAGTATGATAACACGTCAGGTAGGGCAAAACATCACTATGATATTTTCCCGACGCAACCTCACATTGTAATAGTAGGCCTAATAACATACAAAACAACATAAATCTTGTCATTGAATACAATTATTTTTTTCCAGATAAAATGATGTGGAATGTAAGGAGGGAAATGTTGAAATTATGGGTTACAGGGGACAAGTTTTTCGTCTGAAGGGAAAAAATTCAGTTAGGTCAAGAATGCAAATGTACAAAAGCCAAAGTGTATGAGGTAGGAAGGGTCGCAGTTGTCATAAAATAAATGCTTCATTTACTTTTTTATTGTCATACTAAGTTAAAATTGTAGTGGCTTATCAATCGTTTAAAATTTTCAGTGTGAAAAATCCTGTACCGGAAATGCTCCATTCTAATGTTGCTTAAAAATTTACATGTACAAATGTAATTCAGAACTGGCTTTCTCGAAAAACATGCCTCCTAAAACAATAACAACTTCCACCCTACTCATAAAATACCTTTTCATTTTGTTTTATGTCGACTGTTTGGTAGCATTGTTTATGATATTGTTGGTAAATATTAATAATGAAAACAACAATAGCAATAACAAAAACCTAACAAAGATATGTTAAACATATAATAAAGCGTTTCATGCACCCAAAAGCACATATGGAACACATACACAGCTCTCTGACAGAATTCCATGATGTTGCAGCTAGAAATGTCCTCACCCGACTTTTGTGTTCGATCATATGGCACTCACAAATGTAGGTGCCTTGCTAAAGGACACAAGATGCACAGCGAGGGATTCAACCCCCAACCTCAAGTTTAGAACCACAACGACTGCGCCAAACCGCACTTAGATATTTACCTTCGCATTGGACAGAATCTAAGTCCAAGTCTAAAACTTGAGTTCTTCCATCCAACAAATATCACATCTTCATCATTTGGAGCCCACAATGCCTAAAAAATATACAATCATCACTGAAAATATATATATTGATTTTCAGTTCTTACATAGATGAGAATATTGAATTCATTTATTTTATATTTTAAAAAAAAGATTTATATAGTGCACACATCCAGTATCCATTTGATACAGAATCCAGGAAAAATAAACTTGTATAAAATACATCCCAGCAAGAAAGAACCTACCTGTCCAGGTGAAATATCATTGGGCACACCTTCCAAAATTCCATGACAATGCTAGCGCTATCAATATCAAGCAAGAACCTACCTGTCCAGGTGTAACATCATTAGGCACGCCTTCCAAAAGAGCAATGCTACCACTATTAATATCAAGAAAGAACCTACCTGTCCAGGTGAAATATCATCAGGCACGCCTTCTAGAGGGGCAATGCTAGCACTATCAATGTCAAGCACGCATAGAGATGGCATGTGTTTAGAAACCAGTTGCTCTCCCCAGTCTTCACGATAGACAAACTCATTTCCCTGAAAAAAGTAGAACAACAAACGTGATAAACGATAAATGCATGTTTTAGCAAGAGGCATATTAAAACAAATGCTTCAATGGTCCAAATATTAATTATTTGTATTTTAAATCAGCTGATAGTTGGTATATTTTAAATTCAAGAAAATCAATTATACATTTACGTAGAAACATCTCTTAAATTGTTTTTGGTATTTGTAACATATGTGATTTGCTGTATTTTTTTCTGTCCTGTCTGTGGTAAAATTTGGAAAATTAGCAAAATACTGAATTGCATACTTTGAACTACTAAATAAGTTATCAAGAAAGTATAATACATACTCCAAGTATTGAAATACACGCCATCGTGTTGGGATTCAATATTTCGACATTAATTATGTCATCATCATTCCAAACAAAGACCAAGACAATTCTTTGTACACACTATCAAAGTTTCTTGTATTATAACTGTTGTATGCTCAAATATAGTTATGAGGTGCCTATATATGGTCATGATGTAATGTCATCATTTGACCATATTTAGGCATGTCACATGTTTTTGTCAAATAAAATAGGCTCTGGACTTTAAACTACCATCTACTCAAACAAATTTTCAGTAATCACCTTTTCCTTAACATCTTCTCCATCTTCTTTGCAGGTACTTTTGGATTCAAAGTAGGATGATGTTTTTGGTTGTTTCTTTTCAGCAACATACAGCAACTTCTTCTCTGAGGTTGACCATTCTATACATCCAAATTGCTCTAAGGAAAAGAAGAATAAACCCAAGTTGATATTGCACCTCAAAACCCACAAATAGAATCTGCATACACATCTAGATGTGTATAAGAGACAGGAGGTAGGAAGGGTCGCAGTTGTCATAAAATAAATGCTTCATTTACTTTTTTATTGTCATACTAAGTTAAAATTGTAGTGGCTTATCAATCGTTTAAAATTTTCAGTGTGAAAAATCCTGTACCGGAAATGCTCCATTCTAATGTTGCTTAAAAATTTACATGTACAAATGTAATTCAGAACTGGCTTTCTCGAAAAACATGCCTCCTAAAACAATAACAACTTCCACCCTACTCATAAAATACCTTTTCATTTTGTTTTATGTCGACTGTTTGGTAGCATTGTTTATGATATTGTTGGTAAATATTAATAATGAAAACAACAATAGCAATAACAAAAACCTAACAAAGATATGTTAAACAACCACCTGTCTCTTATACACATCTAGATGTGTATAAGAGACAGGTATAGATACTCATAATATAACGTTTCTCAAAAAACAATGAAACACATGGCGAATTCAAAGCAACATGTCAATCTTATTAAATTCTTAATTACCAAATAAAATCAGATCATAACGAATCCTAATATAGTTAATTATAGTCTTTAACTCACCAGTAAACATCTGCTACTGAAAACCAGGTATAAAATGAAGCATTCACGCTCACAAATTTGGTATTCTAACCATCAATATAATATGCGTGCATCACCAACTGATGCCAGCTTCGCTCTGCCGACGCGATGTCAAAGCTCGCTCTACCTCACAAATACAAAGATAACGCTGGGGGCGCGCTGCGTAGGAAAGATCTAACAGTGTCTGTGTTTAGCTCTCAAACAGACCTGAGGCGACAACAAATCACGCTGGGCTGGCTAAGTTGGCCTTAAGTTAAAAGAATTACCATCCTCATAGATTTTTCCATGTTCGTCTGCAGCTGCAACATCAATTGTCATTAACATCTTTTGACAATTCCATACCTAATTAGGGCAGAAAGAAAAACATTTAATCACTTTTAAAAACATTATTGTTGAATATATGATGAGTGAAATTCGGACAAAAACTATTTAATGAACAGATCAGGTGACAATCCCTGTGATTTTTGATTATCTTGTTTCTGTAACAAATTTATTTTAATCACATTTACTTTTATTGCTATTATATATTTTCAAAATATGCCTTTTATAATTTTTTCTGTTTTTTTTTAATTCTTTTAGTTATGTGTATTCATTTATAATTATTGGAATGTACATTATATTAAATCTTCAATTATCTTGTTTCTTTAACGTAATACATATATATTTAATTTATATTTAACTTTGATATTTATTGTTTTTTTTAAATTACGTTTTAAATTTTTTTCTGTTTATTAGGTTTATTTTAATTCTATTTAACGTCTTTTAATTATTTACTTTGTTTTTGTAATTGTACTCTATTGTTTTTGCTTTGTATGTTTTTGAGGGTCCCAAATAATCAGCCCCGTCTGGATGGACCACCCTCACAAAATATTGTTGAAATAAATAAATAAATAAATAAATCCCAAGGTTTAGGCAGTTTTTGGTTAATATCCATTCAGATCGTTATGTTAAATAATCAAAGTGCCTTTGCTAAATAGTGGCAAGCAAGCTACCTGTAAAGTGGCTTCAGATAGTCTATATCAAATTTGATTTGTTGAATTATTAATTAAATGATTACCAATAATTAAGATGTTTAAAATGTCATTGACCAGTAATGGAAATTAAATTATGCGAAGGCATCATCCGGCAGTGCTAATTTTCAACGCTTTCTGACCAGTAATGGATTTGCTTATACAATCTGTTCAATATTGGATATTTTGTGAATTTCTGACATTTTGGTGGCTTGTTTTGGATACTTACAGTAGATGTGCATTTTTGTGTGAATTTTTATAGTGGAATTTGACAACTCATCTAGGCCACACTGAAGCAATGGTATGCAACACTTCATGCAACAACTACAGGTGTATGCCTACTGTTGTCTAACAATGGGTCCACGGGTGGTGGTCTAAACAAGAAGCGTAAGTGTTGGAGAAAAAAACGTGGTGTTCACGGTAGTAAGTGACGAGGAATTATTGTGCTTATCTCCTAACGTAGACCTAGTTATTTGTTACGAACTGATGTGTCTAAACCAACATACAGCAATTTAGTGCAGGTGAGCGTTTTGCCCCTCCGAAGTAGAAATAGGTCTCAGTTTCCTAGCTCATTAATCCATTGTCGATGATGAATAAAATCAAAGAAATGTCAGTGTTTATGATTGATAAAAATGTGGATGTACAGTAGGTTTAGTGAATGATTCTTGGGCAAATAACAAAAACGTACATAAAATTGCGATTGATGATTATGATCTGTTCTATTAAAGGGGAAGAGCAGTACGGGATGATCATGGATGTAGCGACATTACTCAAGGAAAATATAATTGCATCCGATATTGACTTGATAAGTGTTGCAGACGGTGTCGAGAGCTTGTGGCATAAAATCCGTATCCCCAGATCAGATTTATCCCAACATACACGATGTTGTTCTTTGTGGGAATGCATGACTATAGATGACTTTTGCTGTTCCCCTCTCCTAGCATGGCCTTGGTGTTCCTTGAGCCTAGTACGGAGATCACGTCCTGTTTCACCAATGTAAACCTTTCCACACTCACATGGAATCTGATGAACTCCTGGCTGGCTCTGTGCTGGTGGTTTACCCTTGTGTGTTTGAAGAGTCTGGGATAGTTTGTTGGGTTCACTATGAAACACTTTAATAATATCGGCTTGTTGTAGAATATGTTGAACTTGGTATGAAAGCTGTCCCAAATATGGTAAACAGACTTTCTAGATTCCATAACATCTTGGCTATTGTTGCATTTGGATGTTTTGAAATCTCTCATGTGATAACTGGTCAGTTTCAGGGCTATCCAATGGAGTTGTTTATCATAGTCCAGAGAAATCTTTAGTACTTACAATGCACTGCTAAGCTATCTCAAAGATTACATAGATGCTATTAAAACCAGATCACCAACTGCAGCAAAATACTGATATGTGGTGATTTTAATGAAGTTGGGAGGGAAATACCACAATTTTGCACATCCACTAGGCTAAAACAAATTATGAAAACACCAACAAGAGGCAACAATATTTTGGATTTAATGATAATAAACCTCTCCAACTACTATGAAGACCCGTGTTTTATTCGCCCTTTGGGCAAAGCGATCATGCAACCATTGTTTGGAAACCAAAACTGGGATTTGTAAAAGTCAAATTTGGTATGATCACTAAAACGTTTAGACAACTTTCTGGCAAATAACAAGTTTGGGCAGTGGATTAACATGAACTGGAATGAAATTTCCGATGCTGATCTTAAAACCAATTACTTGGAGTCTGAGTTAAAGACAGGATATAGCCAATGCTTCCCCGTTGCGTAAAATAAAGGTACACTCGATCACTCCCAACATAAAGATAAGGATAAGATTAAAAAAGGCAGATAGCTTTCTATGAACATGGTAATTAAGACTCCAATCGGCAATAGGTGCTTAGAAATATGGTTATATGGGAAATCAAAAGAGCTAAATTAAGTATGGTAAATATGAATTTGATTAAATCCAGAATGCCAATTCAAAGCAATCCAAAAAGTTGGTGAAATATGTGGGAACACAAAGAAAAAGAAAAGATTAAATTTAGCGATTGAAGAAAATGACCCCAACATTATACGTGATGATAAATTTACACTTTGCACAAATCTGTCAACATTTTGAACCTTTAACACATTGACTGCCAAACCCTTTTTTTAGGTTCCTTCCCGTGTGCCAAACCAAGTCAACATGTAAGATAGTATAATACAATGGTCATATATTTATATAGCGGCTTCCACCACAGATAAGCCTATGGCTTCCCTACTGTGCACTGCTAAGTTGGCAGCGCTACCTCAAGTAAGAAGTGCGACTTTTTAGGGAAAAGAATACTTTACTACAGAACAGCTTAACTACAGAAATTTAACTACAGAGATTAACTAATAAATGCGAATTATTAACCATGAGAAAGTTAACAAAGATTGAAGAGATAAGCCTTCAAATTCTTTTTAAATACAAGGAGTGAAGGTGCCTCACGAAGATCAGTCGGTAATGAATTTCACAACTTCGGGGCAGCTACAGAGAATGCCCTGTTGGCGTAGGTCTTGAGACGTGATGCGGGAACTGATAGTATAGACGTGTCAGTGGTTGATCTCAGAGACCGCAAACATGTTGCAAAACAAGACTTGAACAAAAGTTGAACAATGTTTGTTGAGCATTATGGTTGAGAGCCTTGTATGTGAGGAGTAAAATCTTGAATGAGATACATACTTCAAGTATCAAAATGCATGCCATCGTGTTGAAATTCAATATTCCGACATTAATTATGTCATCATCAAGAATGAAAAATTATCAAGCTTTATGCACAAGTACCAAAAGTGTTTGAGCAATCAAAACATTACCCCTAGTAGGTGACATAGCTATGAAACTATAAAGATCAAAGCATTCTTACCCTACTGATCAAAGCTACCTACAAAAACAAAGAAAACTCCTTTGAAGCTTTCAGCATATTGTTAAGCAATGGGTGTAGCTTACATATAAGAAATGCTTCGTTAAACAATAGTATAGACCAATTTTGCAAACATTGTAGCTTTGTAGCTGTAATGCAAGTAATGAATTAGGTTTAATATTTTCTAATACTAACATTATTGACAGTTCAACATCATCACATCCCATGGTATGCAATGCATGTTTTATGCTGATGATGTTCAGATCTACACTTCTTTTTCACCAGCTGAGCGTTCCGCAGCCATTGATAGAATAAAATCCTGCATGTCCGATGTCGAATCTTGGTCGGTAACAAATCAACTGAAACTTAATGACTCCAAATCAAAGCTCATACACTATGTCTCTCACTTTTCCAAGATGAATCGTAGTGTACATATTGGCAACTCGGTGATGAATGTGTCTGCTGAAGTCCAAAAGCTAAGTGTTATAGGTTCGATTTTGTCACTTTCATTTCAATGAACTCTTCAGCAATGTTGGGCATTAGAAAAATTGGCAGAATCCGTAGGTTTCCGGACGATAGGTCTGCTGCAACACTGGTTCATGCATTTGTAACCTCAAGGCTGGATTACTTTAATAGTCTACTCTACAACCTTCCAAAAACTCACATTTCACACTTCAAAACTGCAATGTGTACAAAATACTGCTGCTCTAAGCCATATTACACCAGTTCTTCAAAACTTGCACTGGCTATTCCAAAAACAGGCTTTCAAGATCCTGCTTCTTACATACAAGTCCATTCACAATCTTTCTCCATCGTGTATTTCAGAGCTCATCCCCACTTATGTACTGACAAAGGAAACATCGATCTTCTTCTCAACTCAATCTTGAATTTACGAAAATGAGGATGAGTTATGGCTCTCGTTCGTTTGCAAATGTACTTTAAATCGGCTGTATCTATTGATTCTTTAAAAACCCTGCTGAAAAATTTTTCTGTTCCAAAATGCTGAATATGCATGATATGTTTTCCTTAATTCATCTGGGGTAGTGATGCATGTCCTATTGTTTGTGGAGTGTCCAGAGCGGGGCCCCACCTGTTCCTTACTCGAGACAACGACGTTGTCTTTTGCAGTGCACGATAGTAGAGCTGAGGACTTACTCTGAGGTGGAAGCTACCGGAGCCCAGCATACTGCCTAACGGAGTGCCTCCGTGCACCTGGGTGTGACAGCGACGTTGCTTTCGACATCGGTGGGTGGAGCTCTGTTCTGGATACTTATACCGATAGTGCAAATGCTTTTTCGGAACTGTTTTTAGTTAAAGTACCGTAGTTTAAGTCAAAATTTATTTACTGCTTGTCTTCTTTTCTTTTTGTAAACGCATTGAGGTTTTTTGCGGAATGTGCTATAGAAGTATGGAATTATTATTATTAAAGGATCAAATGGCAAATTTTCAAAGAAAGAGAGAAAGTCAGGAGAAACATGTATATGTAATTTTTGTCCTACCTGACGTGGAAAATGTACTGAATACTCAGTACGTTTGAAAACAATTGCGAAAAAAATCACAAGTTGGTCTCGGGTGGAACTCGAACCCACGATCTCCAGATCACTAGTCTTGCATTATACCTCTAGACCACCGAGCTTGCGCCTGATGGCCAGCGTTAAATTTGAGTCCAAGTAAGCAGCAGGTACTGCAGTGTTAAAGTAAGCAGTGTTTACTGCAGTGTTAATTACACCTGTACAACTTAAAGTGGGACGTCCATATTTGTGACATATTGCTGCAAGTAAACGTCTGTACATGTTCACCTGTTTGAAAAAGTTTGGAATGGATAGGAGTCAATTGTTAAAATTTATTCAACTTTTGTAAGAGCAATAACTGAATATGCAAGCCCAGTATTGCATTCACCTTTGCCAAATTGTTTAAGTATTGAAATTGAAGCAGTGCAACGCTGAGCAGAATAATATTGGGTGCACAAGTTGAATCATATCGTAGGTCATTAGAACTTTTATGATTAGAGGAACTTTAAAATTAGAGAGTGTAAATTTTTGCTTCAATTTAGTACGAATTTATATGAAATGCTATAATGCTATACTAAATACAAGGGGGGGAAGTATGTAAAAGGGCACTACGAAACTCCAGTAAATTTGATGAGAACCTCTGTAAGTTTGAAAGGTTTAGAAAATCCACATTCCCTACAATATGTAGAATGTTGAATTGTAAATTTAAAAAAAAAATAAAAAAAATAGAAATACGCAAGCGTTTTGAATGTAGTGTTAGCTTGAGACTATGAGATGTTCCCATATATATTATGTATAAGTTATATTAATGTTTCCTGCAAATAATGTATATAAATTAAATAATGTTAATTTTGTAAATTTTTAATTAATGTAAAAAAAATGTATTAATAATTAATGTTGATTTCATGTTGTAATTTTATATATTTTGTATAAGTTAATTTTAATGTTTTCTGTAAATAATGTATATAAATTAAATAAATTTCTAACTTTGTAAATTGATGAATAAAAAAAAATGTAGTATTATTAACATTTTGTTGATTTTGTATTATAATTATTATGTTTCATATAATCATATATTTTTAACAATAAGTAATAATCCATAAACATTGAGCAATATTCTCCAAATTTTACACTTCTATATTTTGATTAAGTATGAAATTTCAATGTTAACTTCCTTTTATCTAATTTTAATTTTATTGATATTTGTAATTAACTATTATAATTTAAATTTTACTGTTACTCTTTAGTTTAGGTCTTTTTCACAGTCTGACTTCGTAATTACACTTTGTGTATGTTTTCTGGGTTTTTTTTAATTTCTTTTTTTTTTTTTATAAAACTTTGTTGTCAAAATTGTGATAATTCAGTGCTTGCACCACTGCAAGAACAATATGAATAAAACATGAACACGGCTTAGTGACAAATTCAGGATCCATGTTGGATGAGTGTTTAATTTCCTAAAATACCCTATTTCCTTGCACCGAGAACATGCTTACTGAGAACTCAAGAGTTTTATCTGGCATCTAGTGGTAGGGTAGTGTATTAGTCAGATCCACCTTTTACACTAGAAATGAGCAGACAGCTACATAAAAGTGCTTCTGAGTAGAACGAGAATCACTACCTCAATATACTGTTTTTCATCTCCTTTCTTGTTTGTTATCTTTCTAATGATAGCAACCAGTTTACCAGATGGTGAACAACGTCTTAGTAACCTATGATGAAAATTTATGCAGTCATTAATTAGCAGCAATTAGTGTTTTAAATTTTAAATTACTGTAAGTTATAAAACCATAATTATATTAATGTAATCAGTATAATAATTAGCATAAATTAAAAACAAAAGTAACAATATAGCAACAACAGCAACAGTAGCAACAACAGCAATGGTGAACAACATCTTAGTAATCTACGTATTGGCATTACTTTTAACATCTGTTTATAGTCTTTAATTACCAGCAACAGTGTTTTTAAATTTTAAATTAAATTTCTAAAGCCATTAATAAAAGTACAGTAATCATTACAAATGGATACATTATCATTATGATAATTAAAACAAAAGTAACAATAAAAAGAATAACATCAGCAACAACAGTAGCAGTAGCAGCAGCAGCAAACAGCAGCAGCAGCAACAACAGCAGCAGCAGCAGCAACAACAGCAGCAATTAATGCCAACAAAGGAACAGAAAAAGCAACAACAAAAGCAGCAACAGTAACAGCTCCAGCACCAACAAGAACAACACCAACACTATCACCACCAACAACAACAATACCAAAACCACCAACAACACAACTACAGCACCAACAGCAACAACAAGAACAACACCAACACTATCACCACCAACAACAAAACAACAACAATACCAAAACCACCAACAACACAACTACAGCACCAACAGCAACAACAAGAACAACACCAACACTATCACCACCAACAACAACAATACCAAAACCACCAACAACACAACTACAGCACCAGCAGCAACAACAAGAACAACACCAACACTATCACCACCAACCCAACAACAACAATACAAAACCACCAACAACAACAGCACCAGCAACAACAAGAACAACACCAACACTATCACCACCAACAACAACAATACCAAAACCACCAACAACACAACTACAGCACCAACAGCAACAAGCACCAGCAGCAACAACAAGAACAACACCAACACTATCACCACCAACCCAACAACAACAATACCAAAACCACCAACAACAACACAACAACAGCACCAGCAACAACAAGAACAACACCAACACTATCACCACCAACAACAACAATACCAAAACCACCAACAACAACACAACAACAGCACCAGCAACAACAAGAACAACACCAACGCTATCACCACCAACAACAACAATACCAAAACCACCAACAACAACACAACTACAGCACCAGCAGCAACAACAAGAACAACACCTACACTATCACCACCAACAACAACAATACCAAAACCACCAACAACACAACTACAGCACCAGCAGCAACAACACCAACACTATCACCACCAGCAACAACAATACCAAAACCACCAACAACAACACAACTACAGCAACAACAACAGCAACACCACCAACAACAACACCACCAGCAACAACAACAATAGCAGCAATAGCAGGATCAACAACAGTAACAGCAGCAGGAACAACAACAACAATAGCAAAAAAAACAGTAGCAGCAAGAACAGCAACAATGTTTGTATACTGTAGTACTTTGTAGGCCTCAGTATTTGACATTTGTGTTAAATAATTTTTTTAAATATGTATTTCAACCAATGCTCTGTAAATATGTCTATAACCTTCAAGAGATATTTTTATATTCAAATATGTATGTATTAGTGTTTTTGTTTGGTAAACTATCAGTGCGGACATTTGTCACTTTGTCACGGAAATCTGGCCTGTCAGCCATAGTCCTTTGTTTTTGTGTTAAATAGTGTTTTTAGTGAAATGATGCATCTAAATCATGGATTGGATAAATTCAATATTTGAATTCCCTAACTTAATTTAATGATTAATTTAAACTTATATAGTAATAAAAAGTTTAAATGAGACAAACGGTTAAAACTACAGTAAAGCCCCAAATTTACTTACTCTCCTTTTCGTTCAGTTGGAAATCCAACACAGCTGGCTTCTACTGGGGTACCATGATTATCTGTGATGACCTGGTGCTGTCTTAGGCTTTGAACATTCTCCATCTTCTGAAGGTCTCGTTGACTCCAACATGATGTAACCGTGTAAGACTTTCTGCCTTGTGCAGAGCAACTGCCAATACTACAGTAGATACTGCCACTTGTGACAGAGGGCAGCCTTGAGAACTCTTGATATAAAGACACAGCTCTGTCAACTAATACTGCCATATTTAAAACCTGTAATAATAGGAGACTAGGTGATAAGTTAGTAAACCAAAGTTAACATCCATTGTGTTTCACTTATTAACATTTAAAACAGACTGTACAACAAAGTTACTTCCTTGTTATTCACTGTCCATAAGTCTTGTATTTATATCAGGATAAACAGCATAAAAATAATTAAAATACATAATTTTTTTTATTATAAATGAAACATTAATAAATAAAAAAATTGGTTATATACACTGCAGTAAATCGAGATTAAAATTTAACAATAAACATAAATTTCACCATGCTCTCTCTCAGTGGCATCGAGAGGCCTGGGCTTACGGGACAAGCACCCAAGGGCCCTTGGTCGACAGGGGCCAGGGATGATATAGGTAAAAAAATAATAAAATAAAAAAAAAAATTATTGAACGTATACATTCATCCAGTATCATTCATTAATATTTTAATGATTCTACTACTCTAGAGTTTATGTTTACAATGTATCAAATAGTATATTCTTTGCGTCATTAATTAATAATTATTAAAGGATTGGACCCTGGATATCATCAATATATATACAAGTTAGAAAATACGAGTAGACCTGATAGAGATTTTATTGTCAAATAAATACTGAATCAATATACTAAATCAGTGGCTGACTAAAAGAGCTGTCTCTTATACACATCTAGATGTGTATACCTGGTGCCATAATGATAATTTATGTTCTTACCTCAGTCACAACCATAGTGGGGCTGAGGTACTGTACATAGACCCTCCATCTGTGAAAGTCCTTCTCTGGGGCCCCTTATTTATTATTAAGGGGCCCCTTATTAAAACAGTAAACTTTGATATGTTATGAATCTTTTCAGCTACATTTCAATAAAAGGAAGGATGGCTTTTACTTTTGCTTCCATATATTTTTTTTTATGACCTGGTGAAATTAAGCACTATATAATGAATTAATCTAGTCCCCTAATCCGTTAACTGGCTGTAGCTTGCAAAGGCCTAACCCCCCGCCTCTACCACCACTTGGGATCTTCCCCTCTATCCCGCTGGGGCCCTTGGCGGCCCCAAGCTTGCCATGCTAAAACCAGCATCACTGTCAGTGACGCAAAACAAGAAAAATGACTTTTTAATATATCCATATTAACTATTATCCACATCATAATCATCATCATCATCCTTCGGCCGCAGCCAAGATGGAGTTGACAACTTTTAGCCAGGTGTTTCGGTCGGACATCGCCTTGCCGAGATTTTTGAAAGGAATTACGCCATAGTAGCGTAGATCAGATATTATTTGGTCTCTACCTCACTGTAAATCGAATTTTTTGTGTTGCAAAGTGTGGCTGATATAGGTGGGAGATCACTGTATATTTCAGTTTTTGTGGGATGTGTTTTCCAGTTCAAATTCTGCACTCGCATCAGAAGTGTAAGTGCAGTGAAGCCTCTTTTCAAGTTCCCTTTTCATTGTTCATGTTTTGGAGCATACAAAAGAATGCTTAATGATTATGGCCAAACGAGTTTCTGATGTCTATAGATAATCTGAGTACAGTAAGTAGTCGACCACCATAACAAACAGGTAGGGTGCCGATGCTGTTAGTACTTTTTCACTTATTTTATCGGCCTATTGTTGTTATTATTTTTGACCTTTTATTATTACTTGCATTATTATTACTTGCATTTTTTATTTTTATTTCACGACCTTTTGTTTTAATTACAAATAAAATTATTATTATTAACTTATCTCTTCTATCACTTCTTATTTTATAAATATTACACTCTCCTTGTAATTAACCTTATAGTTTTCAGTGGCGGATCCAGAAATGTCCAAAAGGGTGGGCCGGAATGGGGTGGCCGAAAGTTGGGCCGATTGAGACAACACTGTCGTAGGGGGTCCGGGGCATGCCCCCGCGAAATTTTTGTGTTCTAGACTCCCGAACATAACATTTGAGGCATTCTGGGCCTGTCTCTTATACACATCAGATGTGTATAAGAGACAGGGATTGGACCCTGGATATCATCAATATATATACAAGTTAGAAAATACTATTTGATACCTGTCTCTTATACACATCTAGATGTGTATAAGAGACAGGGCCTACACTGTGCCCCGAAGACACGACGCTCCGGTCCCTGACTGCCATCGATAATTTGGTGGACATTCTTTTACTAGGCCTATTAGTACAATTGTAACTATCGAAGGCGGGCGCTCTTCCCCTATTTATCTAGAAATACTAAATTTGTCCTGGTGCCATAATGATAATTTATGTTCTTACCTCAGTCACAACCATAGTGGGGCTGAGGTACTGTACATAGACCCTCCATCTGTGAAAGTCCTTCTCTGGGGCCCCTTATTTATTATTAAGGGGCCCCTTATTAAAACAGTAAACTTTGATATGTTATGAATCTTTTCAGCTACATTTCAATAAAAGGAAGGATGGCTTTTACTTTTGCTTCCATATATTTTTTTTTATGACCTGGTGAAATTAAGCACTATATAATGAATTAATCTAGTCCCCTAATCCGTTAACTGGCTGTAGCTTGCAAAGGCCTAACCCCCCGCCTCTACCCCCACTGGGGATCTTCACCTCTATCCCGCTGGGGCCCTTGGCGGCCCCAAGCTTGCCATGCTAAAACCAGCATCACTGTCAGTGACGCAAAACAAGAAAAATGACTTTTTAATATATCCATATTAACTATTATCCACATCATAATCATCATCATCATCCTTCGGCCGCAGCCAAGATGGAGTTGACAACTTTTAGCCAGGTGTTTCGGTCGGACATCGCCTTGCCGAGATTTTTGAAAGGAATTACGCCATAGTAGCGTAGATCAGATATTATTTGGTCTCTACCTCACTGGTAGTGACCTGTAAATCGAATTTTTTGTGTTGCAAAGTGTGGCTGATATAGGTGGGAGATCACTGTATATTTCAGTTTTTGTGGGATGAGTTTTCCAGTTCAAATTCTGCACTCGCATCAGAAGTGTAAGTGCAGTGAAGCCTCTTTTCAAGTTCCCTTTTTATTGTTCATGTTTTGGAGCATACAAGAGAATGCTTAATGATTATGGCCAAAAGAGTTCCTGATGTCTATAGATAATCTCAGTACAGTAAGTAGTCGACCACCATAACAAACAGGTAGGGTGCTGATGCTGTTAGTACTTTTTCACTTATTTTATCGGCCTATTGTTGTTATTATTTTTGGCCTTTACTACTTGCATTATTATTACTTGCATTTTTTATTTTTATTTCACGACCTTTTGTTTTAATTACAAATAAAATTATTATTATTAACTTATCTCTTCTATCACTTCTTATTTTATAAATATTACACTCTCCTTGTAATTAACCTTATAGTTTTGATGAATTAATTTAGGCCTTCTTTCACTCTCAATACTACTTAGCTTAAGTTAATTGGAGGCACAGACTTAAAACCTTAACTATTCTGTAATGTACTATTATTCTTAGTTGGTTTTACTATTAAGCTTTTGTTGTGTATGTTAATATGTTCACGTGTGTGGAGAAATAAATTAAACAAACAAACAAAACTATTATTATTATTATTATTATTATTATTATTACTATTATTATCATTATTATTACTATCATTATTATTGCTATAAATGTTATTACTATAAATGTTATTATTACTATTATTTTTATTATTACTATTATCATCATTATTATTACTATAAATTTTATTATTATTATTTTTATTATTACTATTATCATTATTATTATTACTTTATTAATTACTATATCTTCACTTACTATCATTTACTGTAATTTAATAATTTGTTAATTTTACTTAATTTGATTACATTGCCCTTGTTACTTATTTACTTTTCTGAAGAATTTTATATTGTATTTTTTCGTTGTGTGAAATAAAATAAAATGAAATGAAATATGTGTCACCTTGAAGAATCCCGCAGTTGGTAGTGAAAGACTTAGTTGGGCCTTCAGGTATTAGTAGGTAGCATGGTTGGGTTTTCAAACATGATAAAAATGGCTTTAATGATTTTTTTAGGGATCCCATAGAGGCCCAGAATATGCAGCATGGATTGTCTGTTTAAAAAAAACCCTAGGACAAAGTTTCATGCTTCTTTCCAAAAGTGCACGCCCAAGTCACATATCCACCCACTACAAAGTTTGTTTTAAGAATACCTGGGTAAGTCTAAAACACACAAAAATCTACTGTATTTAAAAATACAAAACCCTTTAAAAATTATTTTCTAAACATTTAAAGTAAACCACTAATGTGTACCTCGGCGTTCCCTACTGCGGCTGTTAATATCGCCACCGAAATGCATACACAATAGCAATACGGCGTCTCGGTCGGCGGCGATCATGAATTCAGTGATTTATGCATGCTCTATCAAAGGTAATAGGCCTAGGCCCTATAATAGGGCCTATTGTCCTATCTCTCTAACCGTAAGTTAAGTTCATAATTATAGTTTAATATAATTACAATCTAAATAGACAATACAGTTTCAGTTTGCATTTTGCATAAATTAATATTCTATATAGTAAATATATCTTTTATCAAACTTGGGTACCGGTTAGTTTACGTTGTGGACGGGTTTAGCCAAAGATGTATCCTAAGGGTCTGCAAAATTTGGGTACGGGTTGACTAGGCCTAGTATTCACTCCTAGTAGCTAGGCCTAAGCCTGGCCTGTGAACAATTACATCATTTTTCATTTAAATTATGGTTTCAAGACATGAAATACTACCTACCTAGGCCGCCTACACAACTTGTGGAACACGAGTGTAACTAGGGAAGGTTGAGCTATCTGTATTCTTTGCCTCCGGTGAGGGGTAAGCCCTGACCACTGATGACCGACCGTACAGTTCTGTTATCTGTACGTATGAAGCGCCATTGTTCCCTTTATTTAGTGCAGTTTCCTAGCTATTGTCGAAGTCTTGTCTGTGTTACCTTGAAACGAGGAGCGATTTTAACACTGCGGCCAACCCCTATTAAGGGACACCCCTATTAAAGGGACGGTGAAACCTTCTGAGTGTGCCAAATGCTCAAATAACCCCTATTAAGGGGACACTTATTTTTTTCTATTGTATCACATCAAGGCCTGTGAACAATTACATCATTTTTCATTTAAATTATGGTTTCAAGACATGAAATACTACCTACCTAGGCCGCCTACACAACTTGTGGAACACGAGTGTAACTAGGGAAGGTTGAGCTATCTGTATTCTTTGCCTCCGGTGAGGGGTAAGCCCTGACCACTGATGACCGACCGTACAGTTCTGTTATCTGTACGTATGAAGCGCCATTGTTCCCTTTATTTAGTGCAGTTTCCTAGCTATTGTCGAAGTCTTGTCTGTGTTACCTTGAAACGAGGAGCGATATATATTTTAACACTGCGGCCAACCCCTATTAAGGGACACCCGTATTAAAGGGACGGTGAAACCTTCTGAGTGTGCCAAATGCTCAAATAACCCCTATTAAGGGGACACTTATTTTTTTCTATTGTATCACAACAAATGCAACAGTCTCAAAATAAGAAAAATTCACTAAACTTTAAAATTATTGACACATTTAGAGCAACTTATTAAGGAACTTTTATCACTTTTATAACTATTTTCACTTTTCTATTGCTGTTTGTCAAGGGCGATCTTTTGTTAGACTACGTAATAATAATAATAATAATAATAATAATAATAATAAGAAAAATTCACTAAACTTTAAATATTGACACATTTAGAGCAACTTATTAAGGAACTTTTATCACTTTTATAACTATTTTCACCTTTCTACTGCTGTTTGTCAATTGCGATCTTTTTTTAGACTACGTAATAATAATAATAATAATAATAATAATAATAATAATAATAATAATAATAATAATAATAATAATAATAATTTAACTGAAATTGCAAAAAGAATTTTGAACAAAGTAAAATAATCCGTCTTTGTTTTGGTAGTAGTTGGGTGTGTTGAAGTATTTTCATGTTTTGTTGTTTTACTTGTATCAAGTGGTGTTCTGTTCTCTCCTCTTATTGATTTGATTGAATTTTGTACTTTGAGAATTTGTCCAATTTTTTCTTATTCTTCTTAATTTCAGATATTCTGGTATATGTTTTGAATAACTTATTCTTTTTAATGAAATTGTTCTAGTGTTTAAAAGTTATTGTAGGCTTACTGCTTTACTTCTCTGTTCCAGAGGTTTTCTGAATAAATTTAAATTGAAAATTAAATTTTGAAATTTGAAATTTGAGCAATAAACCAGAATTTTCTCCCCAAATCCTTAGAGTGAATATCGGTAAGGCATATGTGTTACTTCGTATTAAACCAATATTGTCATTCATTAACATTGCATCATGAAACAATATTGGGAAAATATAAAACTACTGTTGTTTTAATTACATTTCTGTTGATTTCATTATAAATGAATTGAATTTGCCTTGAAAATTATTGCTATTAGTTAGCTATAATTCTACTGTAACAAATTATGTTAATAAAAATAAAATTATGAAGAATTGTATGTCACATTTTAGGGGACAATTTCACGTTTTTAGTTAGTGTTCCCTGAATAAGGGTACCCCTATTCAAGGGACACCCCTATTACGGGACAGTTTTTTGGTCCCCTGTTCAGGGGACACCCCTATTAAGAGGACACTTTTTTTGGTCCTCAAGGCGTCCCTTAATAGGGGTTCTACTGTATTACACAACAACCCCATATTCTCTAGTTCCGTCTTAATTGTATTGAGCAACCTTGATAGAACAACTGAAAACCTACCACTCTTATTTCTTTTCCTCCTGGCCGTCAGTGTTTCCCTTCTCGGGGGGGGGGGGGGGGTAGGGGTTCCGATGTCTCTGACAAGAGCAAAGCTCGTGTGGTCTTGTGTCGCCTAACCTAAAATCCTTTGAAATTTTTCCTGGTAGCGAAGCCCCCAAAAATGTTTGATGAGTTGAAAGTAGTTTTAAAAAAACATGTCAAGCACACACGCGCCCGCTTGGAGCCTATTTTTCTTCTTTTCTCTCAGAGGCGGCGCCAGCGGGTAGAGGGGCGGGGCCAAGAGAGCTGTCCTCCGCCCGGGAGAAAAAGCGCAATTTGTCGGGGGGAAAATTATGTATCTTATACATATTAGTAGACTCTAAAATCGATTAAACTTGCCTTTGAAACCCCTAAACTGTCAAAATTTTCGGTAGCTTCGCTCCCTAGACCACTTTCGAATCCTTTTAATCGAAGTTTGACCACGCCCATTTTGCTTTCGTCGGGGAAATCTGACCCCTCGTTGGGGGAATCGCCCCCCCTCCCCTCTCTTCGGGCAAAACCTTGCGCCACCCCTGTTTTCGCCCCCTACTTACATTGTCACATTCCTTTTCAATTGACCCCACCCTACTTAAACCTATCATTTAAACTTATCATTTCCACATTAAACCCAACTTTCATTTTATTCCTGGATTGAATTGCTCATTGAAAAAGCTCATTAAAAAAGCCCATGATTGAAAAGCTCACAGAGAATTCAATTGAAGCAAATAATTGGATTATCCAAATCACCTTATTTTGCGATTTAGCGTCCCTGAACTGATCATCGAGTACCCCATTTCACCTTAGCGCCCTCAATCCCCATCAGCACCCTTATTTCAAGACTTCTAGATACACCACTGGTGGTAGGCCTATAAAAATAGCTAAGATTATTAGTTGTTACGAGATGAGACGTAGGCCTGTGGAGGTAAAACCACAGAAAGCCTGCTCATGTTGTACTGCTTGTGGGCAATCAGCCAATCACAATCATTTTATGGAAATACCAAATTTGGTCAATTAGTATTGAGTACAAATGCATTCAACTTAACATTAAATGCATTCGAGTTAACTACAATTGAAATAATGTTATGTAGAATGCATTCAACTTAACATTAAATGCATTTTGAATTAACTGGAATTGAATTAGTGTTAAGTGGAAATGCATTCAACTTAACATGCAATGCATACGAATTAAATGCAATTGAATTAGTGTTAAGTGGAAATACATTGAATTTAACATGAATTGTGTCCGAGTTAACTGCAATTGAATAAGTGTTAAGTGTAATACGTATTCAACTTTCAACTTGCATTCAACTTAACATTAATTGTATTTGAGTTAACTGCAATTGAATTGCAGTGAATGCATTTTAACTTAACTATCAATTGCAAAGTATTCACTAACACTAATTCAATTTCAGTTAATTGGAATGCATTTAAAATTAAGTATAATGAATTTTCTCTTAACACTAATTTAGAGGTATATGATAAAACGGCTTGCCATACGGAACGATACGATAGATCAGCTGATTAATCTCGGGTAAGAAATTAGCCTACAATACATACCGTACTGCAGGTATTCTATCTTGTTGAGATTCAATATTTCGACTTTAATTATGTCCTCATCAACAATTAATCAACTTGTATTTTGCACGCACATTTCAAATAAATTAATCGTTATATTTTTAAGGTACCATTTCAACATTTATATAAAAAAAAAAAAAAAAAAAAAACTGTTAACACTATGACAATACAGAGACGGACAAAACTTTCCCCCAAAAGCCTACTTTTGGATTAATTTTTCTTTGAGTTGTCTAATACTAAAAATTGAAAATACAATAAAGTTTGATTGTCTTTATAAAAATAATGACACTTCTTCGATAACACCAATTGTGTTGCTCCGAAACATACTATAGTCCTTTATCAAAATGTTTTCATGAGGCCTCACATAGGAGCAATTACAATCAGTTTCCTTAAAAATTGAAAGAAAACAATTATATGTTAATTTGCTTAGTTTTATTTTAAGTGTCTTTCTTTTTAGGACCGTCACGGTGGGTTTGGCGGGAGATATATGGGCGTATAATTTGTGTAGGAAGAGAAGAATGCTACTGAATTAATAGAGGGCCCCGTCACAGTAGTATTTTAATTTTGTTGTTTTAACACAACAATTTTATGATTTGACGTTGATTAATTTTGAATAGATGACCATGTGTCTCTTAGAATGCTGGGTTATTAGCAAAATGGGCCCCGACCCTCCGGTCCTTTTAAACTGGGGAACAGAACTTTACCTCTGAGAGCACTCTTGGTCAAGCCTCTGATGTGTGCTGGGTAAGAGGGTCGAGCTCAGGCCCTCCGCGGCACCTTTGGGCTCGGGGCCCGGGACTTCGCCCCGAGAGCTCATGGGCTTAACGCCACTGGGAAACATTTCGTGTAGAGCTAATATTTTAGGCCTATATCGTTAATCTTTTCTGAAGTTTTTGATGTTTTCGAAGAAAATCGCATTGTTTCTAAAAGCGCCTTGGTCAATTTTGATATCTATATAAAGAAGACAAACACACCTAATTTCCTGATTTTCTGAATATCTGCATTTAGACCATACATTTTTGTTGGAAGTGATTACCAAATAAAGTGAATTGTGAATTACTATAAATACACGCGGCCGACCTCGTTTGCAGCCGAAACAGATGGATATAATGCGGGTGTTGTGTGACTAATACGTCCGTTATGACTTCGCGACTTTATGACAGCAGTGAATTATGAATTATTGTAAATACATCGCAGCCGAACTCATTTGCGGCCGAAACAGATGGACACATGCGGATGCTGTGCGACTTGTGTCCGTTATGACTTCACGACTTTATGACAGCAAGATTGATCAAATTTTGGGAAAGGTATAATGCAAGATTTCTGAATTAAATTTCGAAAATTTTAATCATATATTTGTTTAAAACTTACGTCCACCTTTACTTCTGATTTGAGACTAACGCTGCCAGCTTTTATTAACTAATGTGTCATAAATTTAGCAGGGGAGCCATTGTCCCACCCACTATTTCTACTGGGGCTGTCCCCCCCCCCACTTTTGTGACTGTTCCCAGCACCAGTGACAAACATTTTACGAACGTTGCAATGTCATTATTATTATTATTAT